GTGGCAGAAAAATACTTTGATACTACTATATTGCTACAATTAGAAAGCTACACTTGTCTCTCAGTTTTATACTTTTTAGTGACCCTTTTCTGGAATTTGGGGTATTTTGTCAATCAGTTCAGTATGACAATGGGTTTTTTGAAGTAGTTGCTCACCTGTTTATTTCAGTGCACACCCTTAAAATACAATGCTATGTACTTTTTCAGTGTTGAATGTTACAGATAAAAGTGCAGCAACTTGAGGCGGTGACCTTACTCCTTCTTGTGGTGTGTTGTAGAATTCAATAAATATGGATAATGAGATCAGATGGAAGAACGTGGTGTGTGTGTGTGTGTGAGAGAGAGAGAGAGAGAGAGAGAGAGAGAGAAGAGAGATTGTACCCACAACAGACCTCCCAGAGGCTCTGGCTCATACTCCCAAGATCCTAAGCAGCTTAGGCCAATGTGATTAAACCTGGGGTTTGCCATCTGTTTATAGCAGATGTAACAACTTTGGTGCCTCTGATGCTCTTTCAAACTTTAAAGTGTACATCAAAGACTGTTCTTGCCAAGAACCAGAGGTTGATTTCCAGTCTAAGAGAGTCTAAGGGAAATTGCAAACGTGAAATATTAAGTAGTTGGGGTGTGATGTCTAAAAGGGTGGGTTGGTACTGCTGTTCAATTATTACTGCGATGCAGGATTTGGAAAACAAATGAAAAGGATGTGTGTTGACATGTAAAGATCTTTAGAAGCCTATTAGAAACTGGGATATTGCTACTTTAACATTGCAGACTGTCATATCAGCTGAAGCATTTCTATCCTGCTAAGTATTATAATACTTCAGAAGGTGGTGGACTCTCCTTCACTGTTGATTTTTAAGCAGAAGTTGGATGGCCATCTGACATGGATGCTTTTAGTTGAGATTCCTGCATCGGAGGTGGTTGGACTAGATGATCCTGTACAATTCTATGATTCTATAAAATATGTATGTAATGGACAGCAGTTTGGAATTATAGAAAACACATTCACTACTCCAAATGGTGGCAGTGCTAGGAGGAGTTTGGTCTTTTGTTACCTATACAAGTATCATTCTTGACTGAAAACTTGAGGAAAGCAGGGTGGAAGCTAGCTAGACAGAAATGAGTATAAGTTACATTGCTCCCTGAAGGAATAGTAATAAAGAATCTGTTCACTTTTTCCCCCTTTTAAAATGTCACTTGCCCTCAGGTTGTTAATTGCTGTGTCTTGTTGGACACTGGCCATTTCTAAGGCAGGGGATGCGATTCTTCAACCTACTGACAGAAGCATGCATGTATTCATAATTCTGTACTGAACTTTTGAGAATTGTTGGTTCAAAGCAACCCTTTAAGAGGTATATACTATTAGTGATTCAGTTTCTAAATACTTTTGTAGGGAGCACAATATAAAGTTGGGATGAATTTGCACTGCCACTAACACCTATTCACTGTAGCAGAATCTTGTGACTAATTTTCACAATGCATTCCATCTTCTGATCTAAAACATTTTGTAGGTGTGACTGACCATCAATCACAGCCCAACAATTAGACATGCACAGGTCTTTCCTATGAATGTGCTTAAGTGTGCCTGCTATTATTTTGAATAATTGTCACCACAGTACTGTGCTGAATATTTTGGATGTGAATGGTACAAATGGGAGGAGGCACATCAAGATTATATTTATGTGTCTTTAATCTTCCTTTTAGCTAGATTCATTCTAGGAGGGTTAGGAATTGCAATGAGATGCCTCTGATTTTCAAAGGTTAGCAAGCCACCTTTCTAAAGATGTTCAGTTCAACAGCATGTGAGAATTCTTAAAACTCTTTGAAGGATGTTAATTTTGGAGAGAATCCCTTATGCAGTGCTAAATTTTTGAAAGGAGGAAGGATCTCCCAGTGATGGAGTTCCTTATCAAAGAGGGCCCCTCCCCCACCTATTGATGTAGACTCTCAAGAGGAGGTTCTCTTGCCAAGCACATGAAGCAAGGGGGAAAGATCTTGAATTTACAATGATAAAGGGCAATTGCACTAGCCTTTCACCTTTGGAAGCCCAAATTAGCATCTGGTTTGCTTCAAAAGTGAGTTCGGACTTCAGTTTCTAGAAGGTGCTTGTCAAATGTAAACATTTAATATGGTCTGGAGGAGCAACTGCCTCCTCTTTTGGGGGATGGGGAAGAAGTTCTGATTTTGTGTCATGCTGTGTTTGATTTTCCCTCCCCAAACTCCTCCCTCTATATTTTTAACATGTTCATTTAGAGTAGACTATTATTTGGCAAGAAGTAAAAAGGGTATAAGAATCTCTTTTCTTTTTTTGGTGGGACATGAAATAGAAGTTTGTTATCACTGAAAATAAGTGAGACAGAGGCACAATTGCATAAACTTTATGCAATGGCTTCTAAATGGGGTCACATCTGGGGGAAATGGAAGAGTAGGAAGGGGTAGGAAGAGCCTGTTGGGAATGTGCAGCCCCCCCCTTCCTGGAAAATCTATAGACAGGACAGATGGTAAAAAGATAGATGGAAGGCAGAGAAACACTGCAGGGTAGGTTGGTGAATTCCATTTCCCCTCTAAACATGGGAGTCCCATATGGGTTCAAACTTCAGAAAGGAGGCTGACAAAATAAATGTCAAAGCTTCTACTTGACATCATTGCTTGTACATTGAATCTCTTGTGACTCTTCACAACATGGACTGCTGAGGGTGCAACCATTTGTACTTTGGTGCTATAATTGGACAGGAAGAAAGGGCCAGTAAAGTGATAAAAAGTCTGGAATATCCTTCAGCATTGTTTTAATCTACCACAGGGATTACAGCTGTGGACAGCACTTTCCCCTTTTGCAACTCTCTACTATGGCTACAGGTGTCGGGAGAGAAGCATTTTGCACAGAGCAATTTGTATGATTTTCTCCATCATAGGAAGAGGGATGTCAATAAAAACAGCTTTTTTTCCTGAAATCTCTCCCCCACCCCATTTATGTTAAACAACATTTGAATGAAGCACTTTTTTACTCTTAGGAATATTTATATTAAATGCGGTATTTATTAAAGACATTGAAAATATTGGCAAAGAGTGATTTTATTGATTATATACTCAAACATTTTATCACTTTACAAGGACTTGTAAGCTCCAATGACTTAACCATAATGGACATGTGAAGCTGATAGTGGATTCACTCACTGAATCGATGAAACAGAGAACCTGTCCTTTGTATATTTGTTATGTTCAGTAGCTTTTCTATTTGTTGTGGTGCCACAGTTATATGAATTGGTCCTTAGAGATTTCTATAATACAAGAGATTGTGAACATTTGACAGACAGAAGCAGAGTTAAATAGAATGACCAATGTTTGGGTGATAACCCAACCATTTACACTAGCTTTGGATGCTGAGCACTTTATATCTAAAGGC